CGTCAAGGAGGTTGCATGCGCCATGCATGGTCACGTGTTAAATAGGGTTGCAAGGGGTTCCTAAAACCACCACCCACTGCAAGACATTTTTTAAAACGTCACGAAACTTTCATGCATTTCAGCCTTTCCCTAACCGCAAACACACCCCCTTAAGCTGCAGCGGAGAAGGGAATTCCACAGCACGCCTGATCTGCGACGTTGCAACAAGGGGGAATTAACCCTACACATGTTGACCCCCTTTTTCCGAACAGCGAAAGCCATCACCGTTTTCCCTGAGTTACAAGGGGTAAAGGTACTCCCTTGTAACTTCGATGTCAGCCTTTGGGCAGCTCACGTGACACCTGCCGTTTGTCACCCCTTTTGAGGAGGCCCACGCTATTGGAGTCGGCAGGACTATGGGATGAACAGTCTTTCCCTCTTTTGCACGTCCTGGAACAAATGCTTTTAAACAATGGCTGGTCAGGGTGGGGTAGACTGGCGCACAGATCTCAACGCCACATACCCCTGTGGGGGCGGACAGGAAAAAAAGGAGGAGGTAGGGAGGACATTTGGCCGGGAAATTTATTGAGTGAAATGGGGGTTTTCCACCAGGGAAGGAGTGGGGACAGGAGCATCTGGTAGAGGAGGGGAGACGAGACCCGGGACGCACCGGGCAGTAGCGTGGAGATGGAGGCAGGGAGTTTGGAACCCTTGCTACTGTTCAAAAAACTGGTGGCCTTTTTTCACACCTGCTGAGAGGGAGGCCAAAAAATAACGTACTATAAAAACCACCTATGTAGTCAGTTGGTCTCTCTGCCTTTGTGCGCCAACGTCCATCCTCAGACACGGTGGGCCCTGTGCGCTCGCGTTCCGCTGCCATGGCAGCAGGGGAGGGGTAGGGGTGGTTTAAGAGCAGTGGCAGCTCCACCAGCAGCGGCTGCCTCAGTCTGCAGTCGATGATGAGTAGCTTTCTTCACCAGCGCAGTGAGGAAACTACTAACCAGCAGCAGCAGCATCAGGTGGACCTGGAGCAGGACCTCAAACAACAGGCTTAGGCCTACTTGGACAGCACCCTGCCAACCGAGGTAGACAATCCCCTTGACTACTGGGCAACGAAACTTGACCTTTGGCCCCAACTAGCTGAATTTGCCCTTGAAAGGCTGTCATGCCCGGCCAGTAGCGTGGCATCGGAGCGCGTGTTTTTTAGTGCGGCAGGAGGTATTGTAACTCCGCGGAGGACACGACTGTCCACCCAAAGTGTGGAGAGACTCACGTTTGTGAAAATGAATCAGGCGTGGATTAGTCTGGATTTCAAACCACCAGTTCCTGACACAACTGACTAAATCCGCCATGAATCATGCCCCAAACATGTTATTATTTTTAACATAGGCCTCTGTATGGCCTTCAATTTAAGCTGCTTACGCTTCGCCACTCTGCCATGGGCCCCTGTACCGCCTCCTCTTGCTGCTGCCAGGTCCAGAGTGTGTCATGGGTCCCTGTACGGCCTCCCATTGCTGCTGACTTCATTGCCACACTCTGCCATGTGCCACTTTCAGGTCTCCTTACACTGTTGGTGGGTTCCATTTTGTCATAGGGTGCTGGCAGATTACGGGCCTCCCATTGCTGCTGCCAGGCCCGTAATCTGTCATGGGCCCCTGTACCGCCTCCTCATGCTGCTGCCAGGTCCAGAGTGTGTCATGGGTCCCTGTACGGCCTCCCATTGCTGCTGTCTCCATCGCCACACTCTGCCATGTGCCACTTTCAGGTCTCCTCACACTGCTGGTGGTTCCATTTTGTCATAGGGTGCTGTATGGCCTCCCATTGCTGCTGCCTCCACCGCCACACTGTGGCTCCACACTCTGGTTTTGGCCCCGTGACTGCCCAAATGAGTGAAGTGTGCGGTGATTCTAAGATCGACGGCACTCATCTGCATGTCATACTGACTGACAGTATTATTTCTCTTCCCCAGCAAACTCCAAGGGCATTTAAATTAAAGGTACAGTATTCTGCACTAATATAAAGGCTCTCTGAAGCCTAGAAACACCTTTTTATAAGTTAAATTCGCAGCGAATATATTCGCATCGAATCGAATTTATTCCTCGAATTCGCCGAATCAGCCGAATCGAATTTTTGAATACTTCGCTCATCTCTAGTAACAATATTGTTTAATGCAAATGCCATACCGGTAGGTCTTTTTTGTCACCCCTGAATCCTGGATTCTTTCCAGGACATGGGTAGAACAAAATGACCACTGAGCCTTCTTTCTTGAGGATGATGACAGTAGTAACCTCTTTAGTTGTCCTCAAAGAAGGAGGCTCGATGCCCATTTTTTTATAGCCCATGTCGTGGAAAGAAGCCAGGACTTAGGAATATAAATATTGGTAATGCATGGGCCAGGCTTGATGCGTGAAAGAAAAGGTCTACAGATGTGGCATTTGCATTAAACCATCCTTTTGTAAATGGTACAGCGTATTTTAAACGTTGTGCCAGTTTATTTAAAAGGTGTCCAAGATTGTTGGACACCCATACTGATACAGTAATGTTATGATAAACGAGATACTTACTCAGAGAATACGAGTTGAGAACAATACCAGAGAGAGATGCTCCAGTCAGAAATCTGAACACACAGTATGTGATGTAATTGGGAGCAAAAGATGCACATATTCCACTCACAAACATCTGAAGGTTTGACCATATGTGCAAAGGTCTGCGACCAAACCTGTTATGATAGGAAAATATTTTCTGAATTCCAGAACACCAAGTAAAACTACTATTAGCATTTAATTTAAATGTGTAAAGGTATTATATTAAACCAGTAATTTTATTGTAATAACCACTTGCCTACCAGGCCAATTTTCAGCTTTCAGCGCTGTCGCACTTTGATTGACAATTGCGTGGTCATGCAAGATTGTACCCATATGAAATTTTTATCATTTTTTTCTCACAAATAGAGCTTTCTTTTGGTGGTATTTAATCGCCGCTGGGCACTTTATGTTTTGCGCTATTAACAAAAAATGCAAAAAATTTGAAAGAAAAAAAGTTTCTTTGTTTCTATTATAAAATTTTTCAAACAGGTAATTTTTCTCCTTCACTGATGTGCATTGATGAGGCAGCACTGATGGGCACTAATAAGCGGCACTGATAGGCAGCACTATTGAGGTGGCACGAATAGGCGGCACTGATAGGCAGCACTAATGAGGTGTCACGGATAGGCGGCACTGATAGGTGGCACTGATAGACAGCACTGATAGGTGGCACTGACTGGCATCACTGTTGGGCACTGATTGGCGGCACTGCTAGGCATTGACTGGCGCAACTTCTGGGCACTGACTGGCACAACCACTGGGCACTGACTAGTGGCACTGACTGGCAGCACTGTTGGGCTGCACTGATGTGCACTGGTGGGCACAGGTGGGTGGCACTGCTGGGCACAGGTAGGTGGCACTTTTGAGCACAGGTGTGTGGCACTGCTGGGTGGCGCAGGTGGGTGCACTGCTGGGCACAGGTGGGTGCACTGCTGAGCACAGATGGGCGCACTGCTAGGCACAGGTGGGTGCACTGCTGGGCACAGGTGAGCGCACTGCTGGGCACAGGTGGGCGGAACTGGTGGGTGGCACTGCTGGGCACCAATCATCAGGGCACTGATCATCAGTGCCATGATGATTGGTGTCGATTCCCTGCTCTGATAACTGCCGGTTGTCAGCAGTACCTTCCTCACGGCCTGACAGCGTGAGGAAAGTGCAGCCGAGTACCGGCAATTGCATTTCCATTTGGACACAGCTGATCACGTGGTAAAAGGCCGCTGTGATTGGCCTTTTACTACATCACGTGATCAGTTGTGTCCGTAGGACACAGCGATCACGGAGATCGCCGGTAGTGCGCCCCCGGGGGTTCGCAGGAGAGCGCTTTCTGGGAGGGCATCATATGACGTCCTCCCAGAACTGGCCAGCCCCAGTGTAGCCATCATTCGGCTATCTGCGGTCGGCAAGTGGTTACACACGATGTATAGTTCATGAGTTATAAAAAGATTAGTCAATTAGTAGAGCTAGAGACAAAACTTTTTTTTAATGTTTTGAATATGTATAAATTCGCTGGTTTCAGTATTTGTTACATTGTATACATTTTCAAATATATGTGGATCAAAATTGCACAGATGTCTACTGTGAAGAACTGACTAGATAGATCTTTGGCCCTCTAATGTAGATCCCGATAAAAATTACTTGAGTCATTACAATAAAATTACATGTGAAAGAAATTATAAATAATTATGTAGGCTGCAGTTCCTCAACTATCAGCTTGAGAATGTTGGTCCCCTGAGTGTCATGCTGATGTTCTGGCTTCCATACTTTGAGTTACTGACCCAGGACATGTATAGACTATGGATAAGGATATCTAACAAGTTTCTGACACTCATTTATATTTATCAAGTGTGTGGTTCAGCAATAGCAGCCCTTACAGCTCTCTTGACAGGTATACTTTAATCTCAACTGAACTAGTCACAAATCAACATTACATTTGCAGTACCCTCTAAATTATATCTATATATAAATATATATTCAAGTGGAGCTCCACCCAAAAGGCTAAGGATTGGCACCTTTGGGGAGTGGGTACCTGAAATTGACAGGTACTCATTCCTACTTCCGCTGCGATTGCCTAGGTGATCGGAAGCAGATGTTGCCCCCCCCCGTAGTCTTCTGGGGACACTTGACAGGTTCCAGAAGACTACAGGACCATTCAGGAAGTGCAGCACTACTTGCACATGCCAGTTGTCCACACTGAAGATGCCGGCGCCGGGAACACAGGATGGCTGGTGAAACAGGCTGCGGGGAAGACACCAGTTTTTGTAGTGCTGACTTTTATTTTTTTACAGATTGACTGGACAACTCCTTTAACCGGTTCTCGCCTGGCCAATAGCACAAAGGCAGCTGGCAAAACACCTCGTCCATCCGGTTGGACACCATATGGCGTCCTTCTGGACACGCCCCCAGATCGTGCCCCCGGCGGTGCGCAGCGTGCCGGTCTCTCGTCGGCTGTGTCCCATGGACACAGCGCATCCTTGATGAGGGTAACAGCCAATAAAATTGTCTGTTTACCCTGCGATCGGCTGTGTCCTATCACAGCCGCTCACAACTATAAACAAAAAGCGGTAACTTGCTATTACCACTTCTTCTCCTCACACATGGATCCTGTGTGAGGAGAAGAAGGGGAACAGTGAGTTACAGCTATCAGTATTGTGCACCACACTACCGATTGCCTCCACACTGCCTTGATTGCCTGTCACAGCTTCCCATCAGTGTACCTGTCACCAGCTGCCCATCAGTGTACCTGTCACCAGCTGCCCATCAGTGTACCTGTCACAGCTGCCCATCAGTGTACCTGTCACAGCTGCCCATCAACCTACCTGTCACAGCTGCCCATCAACCTACCTGTCGCCAGCCCATCAACCTACCTGTCGCCAGCCCATCAGTGTACTTGTCGCCAGCCCATCAGCTTTCCTGGTACCTGTCACCAGTCCATCAGCTTACCTGTCGCCAGCCCATCAGCGTACCTGTCGCCAGTCCATCAGTGTACCTTTTGCCAGCCCATCAACCTACCTGTCACCAGCCCATCAACCTACCTGTTGCCAGCCCATCAGCAAACCTGTCGCCAGTCCATCAGCGTACCTGTCGCCAGTCCATCAGCGTACCTGTCACTAGTCCATCAGCGTTCCTGATACCTGCCACCAGCCCAACAGCATACCTGTCACCAGTCTGTCAGTGTACCTGTCAGCACAGCCCATCACATACCTGTCAGCACAACCCATTGGTGTACCTGTCGTGCAGCCCATCAATGTATCTGTCAGTACAGCCCATCAGCAAACCTGCTAGCGCAGCCCATCACATTCCTGCTAGCACAGCCCATCACATTCCTGCTAGCACAGTCCATCACATTCCTGCTAGCACATCCCATCAAATACCTGCTAGTACAGTGCATCAGTGTACCTGTCGTGCAGCCTGTCAGCAGAGCCCATCAGGGTACCTGTCCACAGAGCCCATCAGTGTACCTGTCCAGCAGAGCCCATCAGCGTACCTGTCCAGCAGAGCCCATCAGCGTACCTGTCCAGCAGAGCCCATCAGCGTACCTGTCCAGCAGAGCCCATCAGCGTACCTGTCCAGCAGAGCCCATCAGCGTACCTGTCCAGCAGCCCATCAGTGTACCTGTCAGCACATTCATAAGGGAAGCCTATCAATGTACAAAGAAAAAAACTGGTCACCTATCCAGGTCTTTTAACTGGCTTTTTAAACAGTGAACATGGAAGGCGTCACAAAGTAAAAAAATAGGACTATCCAGTTCAACTTGCCAGCCTACCCCAGTCTAATAATGGCTATTGTTGGCAAGGAACATGGATAAGTATAACTTATCAGCAGAGTGGGATAAGAAAGCCAGTTCAAACTGCCAGCCAGTTAGCCAACTATCAAAAACCAAATTAACCTGTCTAAGAACATGCGTTTAAAAACAAGGGTTTAGTTAGCACACATTTGCAAATACATACGTAAGCCACAGAGCCACATCACGGCACCCTGAGTATCTGTGGTCCTAACTCTATAAATCTTGAGAGTTCTCACAATGGAGGCACATGCATTTAAATGGATAGAAACAAGGGCAGGTGAACCTGAGGGAGCCCACCCCTCATTAAGGTCATGGGAGCGCACCTGACACCCAGCATGTAGCACAACGGCAGCCAGGGTGTCCAATGCCTATCAGTGTATCTGTCAACGCATACAACTGTGCAGCCTGTCAGTGTACTTGTCATCAGCCTGTCATCAGAGTACCCATAACAGAGCCACCATCACTGCAGCCCATCAGTTGTGTACCCATTACAGTTGCCTAACATACTGCCAACATGTCAAAAAAATATATTACTCTAGTGAGGAGGCTTTCCAAATCCTCAGCATGACGGACGAGAGCAGCAGGGAGCTCTCACTGTCTGATTCTCATTTGAATTACGAGCCAATAGAAAGCAGTGGATCAGTGACCGAATCAGAAGAGGAAGCAGTCCCTCCTAAAAGAGTAAGACACTCTGAACAGCGGGCAAACAACGAGCAACGCCAACCGTACCAATGCATTACACCAAAATGGTCAGTCAGCAAATGCCAACAGAGCTAGACCCAGGATGACAGGCCCAGTACCAGCACTGGGATATCATGCCAGACCCCAAGAGTCAGGGCCCAAACATACCTCCCAGACGCTCTGGCAAACCCTCTGTGGTTGTCTTCCAGCTCAGGATCAGCTACAATCCACCCTTTCACTGCACAACCAGGCGCGCAGCCCAACACAGAAAATATTTCCCCTATTGATTTTTTAAATTTATTTTTCCCTGATAATTTCCTTCAATAAACTGTCGATCAAACTAACCTATTTGTCCAACAGTATATCACAGACAACCCCAATTCATGCTATGCCCGTCCATTCGAGTGGAGATGGCTAACAGTAGAGAAGCTTAAATTGTTTTTGGGCCTTACGGTCAACATGGGGCTTACAAAAAAAAAATGAATTACATTCATATTGGTCCACCCACCCCATCCATCACATTCCCATCTTTTCATCTGTAATGTCCAGGTCACGTTATGACATGAAAATGCGCTTCCTGCATTTCAGTGATAATTCCCAGTGCCCTCCCCCAGATCAGCCAAGCTATAACAAACTGTATAAAATTCGCCCCCTAATTAATTTTTTTTTTCTAGAATATTTTCTGAACTTTATGTCACTGATCAAAATATCTGTGTGGACGAATCTCTTGTCCACTTTACTGGCCGGCTGGGATTCAAGCAATATATTCCTAGTAAAAGGGCCAGGTATGGACTGAAGCTCAACAAGCTGTGTGAAAGTGTCACGGGATATGTGCATGCCTTTCACGTGTATGAAGGCAAAGACTCCCAGCTCCAGCCCCCTGGGTTGCCCAACCTACATTGGCACAAGTGGAAAAATTGTCTGGGACCTGGCCTGTCCACTTTTCCAAAAGGGGTATCACATCTACCTAGACAATTATTATACAAGCCTGCCCCTTTTCTGCCACCTGTACCTTGAAAAAAACAATGGCCTGCGGTACTGCCCGCACAAACAGGAAGGGCTTCCCACAAAATTTAGTTAACACAATTCTACAAAGTGGGGAATCTGCAAGTCTTAGGAAAGAGGAAGTGCTGGCCGTGAAGTGGAGGGGTAGGAGAGATGTTTTATGTCCTGTCCCACTATCCATAATGACATAATGGTGGAAATTCATAGAACACAAGGTCCCGTCCAAAATCCAGAGTGTATCCACAATTATAATCAATTCATGAGGGGGGGGTGGATTTAAACAATTAGATGCATACTTATCAACAAGGAAGTCCATCTACTGGTACAAAAAAGTTGCAATATACTTTTTCCAAATGGCTATTTATAATTCATACATCACCTATCAAAAATCAATTATAAGACCTACCCCCTTCCTCAAATTCATAGAAGATGTCATCACTGCCCTAATCTATCAGCAAGGATCTCCACCACAAATCATTCGCTCCGATTGTGTCAGCAGACTGCATGAACGCCATTTCCCTGAGATTATTCCACCATCAAAAAACAGGAGAAGACGTTGAAAAAAATGTAAGGTATGCAACAGAAGGGGAGTTAGGAGAGACATTAGTTTTCATTGTCCCCAATGTCCCCCAACCAGGCCTATGCATCGAGGAGACTGCTTCAGACGTCATCACACTTTAGTAAGATATTAGTTCCCCATATTTTCAACAGCCTGCAATTTCCCCTTT